CGTGCGCGCTGTCCACCCAACATCCACCCCTTGCGCACCGATCGTCTCCCTCGCAACATTAACGTCCGAGACCATAGCCTGCACACATCGTGCGCGTCGCTTCCTCGCACACACCTTGTGCCATTCGACCACGCCGCTCAAGCCTTCAAGCCTCAAACTCTCGAGCTTCTTGCTCGACCTCCTATGCCATTGTGCATGTCAGCACCCTCGTATACGTTCTCGTGCACGTCTCCTAGGCCATGCAAGCCTCGTTTGCGCTCTTTGCTTGGCCTTGTCCATTAGCCTCGGCCCTCGGCCTTTCTCATCATCGGGGGACTCAGACTAAGTACAACATTGTTTATAATTACGCTACCATGTTCGAGGTATGTATATTCAGTATCCACTCGGAATGGTCGCGGGTCCATTCTGGGTTCTAGTGGCCTAATCTAACCACTAGAGTGTGCACATGGTCCGGTATTAGTTTGTGCCGGAAGATTGCAGTATTAGTTTGTGCCGACAGATATTCAGTTATCAGTTACGTGACTTATGTCGCGAGATCAGACCGGTATCAGATATCAGTTTCAGTTTCAGTTTCAATTCAGTTATATATGCTAAGATCATGATATTGTTATTATTTTCAATGTTTACATTAGTATGAGTTTCTGCGGAGCACAAGTGTTTTAGTGCTCACGCCCCCACGCGTTTCATGTTTTTCAGATCGTAGGGCCGGGGACGAGGAGTGAGCTGGCGGGCAGTTCAGGATTTTTGTGTTTATATGTATATATGTTTTGCCACGTAGATATTTCTGCTAAAACTTTCAGTACTTATTTTCAGCTTTTATTCCGACATTAGTCGGATAAGACATTATAACTGTTTTTATTTATCAGTTTAAAATTTTAACGGTTTTCATAAAAATCAAGTTTTTCACGGTAGCATCCCGAATCAGTTTTCGCAAAATAAATATTTTATTTAAATATTCAGAAAATTGCGAAAATCGTGTACCTTGATTTCAGTAAAAAGTCGGGGTATTACATATAATATTTCTGGGAAAAAAGAGGCGAATAAAGTGAGCGAGGTCGAGCTTTTTCTTATCTGGGCGATGCGAGAAGGAGTGTCGGTTTGTTCTATGACCTTTCTGCAGAAAACTTTGCAGGATATCGCACTCAGTCAGCGTGGAACACCGGCACTTGGACATTTTGTTACCGCATTGACCAAGCATTTTGGAATTCATCAATAGGATCCCAGTTTGGACTGGTCTAAGTACGAGTCTCAGATGCGGTGTATCAATGAGCATTAGCTCAAGTCGTCCGACCTCATCAAGAAGCGGACTACCCTTCAGGAGTATACGAAGCGCAAGGCTTACTCGACCTACTTCAAGAAGCTCCAGCAGAGCGCGCCTAACCCCGACCAGGCAGGGTCGTCTCGGCAACCGATAGAGAGAGACGATCATGAGCAGATGAACGTCGATGATGGCCATTTCCTCCCACCTTAACCAGTCTGGACTCCAGCTCCGAAGCCTTAGCCCGAGGTTCCTCCACAGCAACCACAGAATGGTGGACCTCGTTTCAGACTCAGTATGCGATCGACATCCGTTCCATCCACGACCTTTTTGACGCCCAGAATAGTATATGAGCCGATCTCGAGAGCCGTCAGACC